CTCTCTCTCTCTCTCTCTCTCTCTCTCTCTCTCTCTCTCTCTCTCTCTCTCTCTCTCTCTCTATCTCTCTATGTGTGTATGTGTGTGTGTGTGTGTGTGTGTGTGTTTGTTTGTGTGTGTGTGTGTGTGCTAGTGCGTGCGTGTGTGTGTGTGTGTTTGTGTGTGTGTGTGTGCGCGCGCGCGCGTGTGTGTGTTTGTGTGTGTTTAGGTAATTCATTTCACAACGTAAAAAGGCATCTAGAGTGTTTGTACTGCATCAAAACAACGCTACCTTCATTCAACAAACAAAAAAGGAAAAACACCAACCCAGAAATACAAAAAATAAATAAATGAATAAATAAATAAATAAAAGGAATAAAAACAAAAAAATAAGTAAATAAATAAAATGCCTCCACATTAAGAGAAAAGTAGAAAAAAATGGTCTGATCCCCTCCCCTCCATCCCCCCACGCACGCCTAACCCCCTACCCCCTTCCCTTCTCGCCTCTCCCACTGCCCCCTGATCCTTCATCCCTTGCCTCCTGCCCCCCTCCCCCCTCCCTGCCCCTTTTCCCACTGCCCCTTCCCCCCCCCCCCCACTCTCCTAAGTGGCACTACACCCAGGGCCTTCAAAGCGTGCCAGGTCAGAGACTCTGTGTGCGAGATCAGACCGGCGTGAATATAACCCCCTTTACCTGGTTTCTAGAGAACAGACTACTTGAGAACCCCCCCCCCCCCCCCTGTGCTCGTTAGGCCCAATTTGGGTCTCGAGATCCCGAAAACCTCTTCAAGTTAGGTGTGAGGACGCGGGGGGAGGGGGGAGGGGGAGGGGGGAGGGGGTTAGAGAGCCTGTTTGCTTGCCTGGTATGTGTTGGTTCGTGTTATTAAGAGGTTTTGCTGGATGTACTCGTGGGGTTTCTGATAGGTAGTGTGTGTGTGTTGTGTATGGGAGAGAAAAGAGAGATAAGATAGATAGATAGATAGAGAGAGAGAGAGAGAGAGGTGGGGTCAGGAAAGAGAGAGAGAAAGAGCGAGAGAGAGAGAGAGAGAGAGAGAGAGAGAGAGAGAGAGAGAGAGAGAGAGAGAGAGAGGCGGGAGGGAGGAGAAGGGAGGGAGGGAGGAAGGGAGGGAGGGAGGGAGGGAGGAAGGGAGGGAGGGAGGCAGGGAGGAGGGAGGGAGGGAGGGAGGGAGGGAGGGAGAGAGAGAGAGAGAGAGAGAGAGAGAGAGAGAGAGAGAGAGAGAGAGAGAGAGAGAGAGAGAGAGAGAGAGAAGAGATAGTGAGAGAGAGAGAGGTGGGGGAGATGAGAGAAAGAGAGAGAGAGAGAGAGAGAGAGAGGAAGGGAGGGAGAGTCAAAATAAGTGTACCTGTGCGTGCCTTCGTGTTTGAGTATGCATATGTATAGGAGTCTCCGTCCCTCCTTCCCTCCCTCCCTCACCTTTCATCCTCTCTCCTTCCCTCCTTCCCGCCTTCCTTCCGTCCCTCCCTCCATCCCCTTCCTCCTTCACTCCTTCTGCCCTTCCCTTCCTTGCTTATCTATTCATTAATCTATCCTTTTATATTAAAAGGTTAATATCTTCTCAGACACTGTTAATAATTACTAGGAACAAAGGTCTGTTAAAAACAACACAAAGAACACATATATAACACGAGATATTTAATACCATTTTGAACCAACATTATTGCAAAATCTTATATGCCTAACGGAAAAAAAGAAGAAACAACTAACAGATAAAAATAAGAAATCGGAAAGACATCGAACAGACACATAATCGTGAGTCAGTGAGTGAGTCAACACTCCCTCGAAATATCATACGTCATTTAATACATCATATAAATATAAACCTGTAATTGAAGCAAACAAATTCAGTCAAAATCTATTAGCGTATCCGAGAGCCTCTCTCTCTCTCTCTCTCTCTCTCTCTCTCTCTCTCTCTCTCTCTCTCTCTCTCTCTCTCTCTCTCTCTCTCTCTCTCTCTCTCTCTCTCTCTCTCTCTCTCTCTTCTCTCTCCTCTCTCTCTCTCTCTCTCTCTCTCTCTCTCTCTCTCTCTCTCTCTCTCTCTCTCTTTCTTTCTTTCTCTCTTCCTCTCTCTCTCTCTCTCTCTCTCTCTCTCTCTCTCTCTCTTTCTTTCTCTCTTCCTCTCTCTCTCTCTCTCTCTCTCTCTCTCTCTCTCTCTCTCTCTCTCTCTCTCTCTCTCTCTCTCTCTCTCTCTCTCTCTCTCTCTCTCTCTCTCTTTCTCCTTCCCTCTCTCCTTCCCCCTTTCCCTCTCTCTCTCCTTTTCCCTCTTCCTCTTCCTCTCCCTCTCCCTCTCCTTTTCCCCTCTCCCTTTCCCTCTCTCCCTGCTAAATTTCTAGAAGAATAACTGCGTGTTGACTGGGTTTCCAAAGGGGGCTTAACTGCCTGTGTTCAATACGGGTTTCGTCACCTCAAGTTTCCTCTTCCATCCTTCATTCCTTCATTCAGGAAAGGGTTTGCAGATCTTACCTCGCTGATGTGTTTTGTTTGTTTGTTTTGTTTGTTTGT